GTGATGATTTGAGTCGTACCGTGATGAATGCCGTGATGATGTGCATTGTACCGTGATGAGTACCGTGATGATGTGAGTCGTACCGTGATGAATACCGTGATGATGTGCATCGCACCGTGATGAATCCCTGCACAGACGTAAGATATTCGTACATATCTTCGTATATATCCAAACCCATTTCATCCGACTGTTTGTGTGTCGTTCGTCTGTTCCTTCATCCCCTTCAATAGTTTGTCTGTTGCGGCCTTGTCCCCAATACCATCCGATGCTAATGTGGTGCTGCCCTGTTGCCGGACCACCACCGGAAACTGCGATGTTGCCGGATGCCATACTGCCACCGGTCACTGGACACTTTACGGGACGCGGGACATGCTACTGATTGCCCTGTTCGTGCGTCGTTGTCCCGCTTCAAGGGGTGTCCTTTTTAAGGATGCCTGGTGCATAGCTCCGCTTAAACTTCCTCGCGGAACGTTAGCGACCTCAGCTGTTACGTCAGGGATCACCGGCCACAGCCTCGTCCGGATTCGAACCAGGGTCTCCGTCGCGGAGGCCGGCTCCTGCCCCCCGAGCTGACGCGCGCCTTATTCCAGGGACTGCGTGGCCCTGCAGGACCCGTACTGCGCGTGGGACCTGCGCCGCCAGCGCTGCTCCTTTGTGGACCCGCAGCGGTACACGGGGCCGGAGTTCGTGCAGAACGTGCGCGACGGCGCGTCGCGACAGTGCCCCGAAGGTCAGTGGGGCGCAGGCCTCTACAGTACCCCTCCCCCTGTTGGATGGCGAGGCTGGATCTTCACAGCCCCGCCCCATCCCACCTATTGGACAGGGTGGGGGGGGGGGGGGGGACCAGCGAGTCTCCATGACAGAGAACAGCTTGGAAGCTTGGACGTGACCGCCTGACGTTCTGACATCGTCGACTTGCCCGGATGAAGCGGCCTCTGCGCGGACGCGGTCCGCTTCTTCGCCACCCGCGCTGACGGGCAGCGCCGCGTTCTCGCGTCTGGCACCTCGCCGGCGGCGGGCCTGACGCCCGTGACGTCACGGTCCGACGGCGGTGACGTCACTCAATCACGTCTGCGAGCGGCCGAGCGGTGGGCGATCTCATGCAGATCCAATGCCTGTGGAATCGACATTAGCATACAGATTTGTTTGATCTGGGCCGAGGCTGGAGGATGAGCAGTCTCGTGAATGTTGGACTCGCCGGCAGAGCATGACGAGATGAGCTATCTACGGCCTTTGCATAAAATCTTGAGAATGGGGAATTTGTGCGTAGGGCACTTCATTCGCGTATTTGCATTTTGATAGGTCGTTTTGCGGTGAGTGGTTGCCAGGATGGAACGTACTACCGATTGGACGCTGTTTTGAAGGGAAATGGCGACCGCTGGCTAGGTATCTTCCGCCTTATGACTGTGGCGGATGGTCTCGTATTTCTTTCCGCATTTCTGGAAACACCGCTCCACTCCCATTTCTTAACAGCGGGCCAGGTGATTGGTGTAAATCTGCGGAGTGTGTCATTTCCTGGTGTTCTGTATGCTGTTTCGTGAGATAGATTTCGTCCATCGCCGGGCTGGGTGCAGGCAGGGTGACTCGCTATCAGCCATACTGCCGCCACCGGGATGTATGTGGGTCAGCATCGGAAGTTTAGATATAGAACCGCCTGGGGGGGGGGGGGGGAGGGGAGAGGGAAGGAGAAGGGGATGTGGTTCGCAATTCCTTTCCGTGACCCAGATATTGTGTGTGTTTTTACAGGTCTAATGCTATTTCTTAATTTACTAGCCCTGACCCTCACGACCTCCCCTCCATGGACTCTCCAACCGTGATGCTGGTCTCTCCTGATAAACTGTGACCACCGAGGGCCAAAACATGGGAGAGCGTGGAGTCCCACTGGCAAACCGGTCCCACTGCGGCTCAGGGCCACACATCATTTCAGTAGAAGAACCCTCGGCGACATTCTACGAAGCCCGGCCCCCAGGTTATCAGTATGACGATCTGATAATCTGCCGGATAGCCTGTCTGCCCTTCACGCATCTTGAGCTTGATCGTAGAGATTAAATTTTCAATTGATCGCTCTTCAGGTGACCCACCCAGTTTAGAGCGGAGTCGTTGAACAGTCGCCAAACCCAGTTTAGAGCGGAGGCGTTGAACAGTCGCCAAACCCAGTTTAGAGCGGAGGCGTTGAACAGTCGCCAAACCCAGTTTAGAGCAAAGGCATTCAGAGCGGAGGCGTTGAACAGTCGCCAAACCCAGTTTAGAGCAAAGGCATTCAGAGCGGAGGCGTTGAACAGTCGCCAAACCCAGTTTAGAGCGGAGGCGCTGAACAGTCGCCAAACCCAGTTTAGAGCGGAGGCGCTGAACAGTCGCCAAACCCAGTTTAGAGCGGAGGCGCTGAACAGTCGCCAAACCCAGTTTAGAGCGGAGGCGCTGAACAGTCGCCAAACCCAGTTTAGAGCGGAGGCGTTGAACAGTCGCCAAACCCAGTTTAAAGCGGAGGCGTTGAACAGTCGCCAAACCCAGTTTAGAGCGAAGGCATTCAGAGCGGAGGCGTTGAACAGTCGCCAAACCCAGTTTAGAGCGGAGGCATTCAGAGCGGAGGCTTTTAACAGTCGCCAAACCCAGTTTAGAGCAAAGGCATTGGGACGGAGCCATTGAACAGTCGCCGAACCCAGTTTGGAGCGGAGGCATTGGACACTCTCGTCAGGGAGGAAGTGGCCACGGCACACCATCAGATCACTCGTCAGGGACGAAGCGGTCACGGGACATCATGAGGTCACTCGTCAGGGACGGATTGACCACGTGACACCATCGGAGGCGTCACCGCCGCGAAAGTGCACCGCCGACAAAAAAACCATCTATGTTGGAGTGGCACCTGGAGAATATTCCGCACGGACGTTCCAAACGAGCAAGGACAACCGATTGTGCAGTGGCAGATGGGAAGCCAAGCCTAGTTGTTGGTTGGGGAACAGGATTGGAGTAGGGGTGGGGGTTGGTTGAAATAAGTTCACTCTTTGCACGGGGCGTTGTGGATCGCAATGTGTAATGTTAGGATTATTGGATGGAGGTATCCTCCCCCTAGTCACCAGGGCAACCGCGTCCGGTGAGCCGAGTGCACGTGCAGGGCAAAGGGCACCGACACCGATCACATTACAGCTCGGAGCCCGACTGCCGCAGGCGAAGTTCGGCCTGCTGACCTTTGTTTGACCCCCGCGTGCTCCTGTCGAGCTGCGACCCCGGCCCCGGCCCCGGCCCCGCCCCCGCCCCGCCCCCCGCAATGGTGACCTTTGACCGCTTTTGTTCGCTGGTATGACGTCATGGACGGAATCCCCGCAGGTTCGAGAGATGTCCCGTCCATTTGGAGCAGAATTTTGAGTAGTGCTGCATGTGAACGAATCATCGAAAGGTTGAGGCTGGATACATGACGCTAAGAGTGCTACGCTAGGTCTGAGCAGTGATAGTTCTATTAAAAAATCCTTTTGTAGCGTGGGAAGCAAGTTCTGTATTCCAAGCGTTCGTGTCGAGCACATGTGTTCCCGCTTCATATCAGCACAATAACACCTGATGAATGATAGCGATGTGGAAAAATCAATGCAATTATACGAAACGTCTTTGGACTCTTTCCCACTTCGTAGCGTATTTTCATATACTGTGCTTTTGGCGATGTCCATTCGTATGCCATTGCCTTCTGTGGAAGCATTTCCTAGACCAATGTTCGCATGAGCATAAAAACTCATCCCCTGACCTTATATATCTTGCGAGCTATGTCGGACAGACCTTGTTTCCTATCTTTACTATCCAGTAACACAGATCCCCCCCCCCCCATTATATCATATCTTTAGAGCTGCCGAGCATCAGTGGTGCCTCAATACCCAAGCCGCCCGCCGTGTAGCGAAATTGAAACACAGCTGACAATGTTTCATTGGCCGCCAGCCGTTCCCTCACAAATGCCGGCCTTGACCGGCTGGCTGCCACACCGGCGCCGCGGCCTCTGACGCGCCACGTCTGCCGCAGGAGCGACCAAGCGCAGCCGGCTGAGCGTGGAGGACAGGCGCTCCGGGGCGAAGTTCGGCTCCGACCAGCCGCTCTCCTTCCAGTCAGAGCAGGGCAGCCGGCGGCCCGACCGGCCCTCGTCCTCCCATCCCGCTGGCGCCGGACAAGGTCAGCACCGGGCAGAGGTCACCGATGGCACGGCTCAAGGTCGTCACGGATGGGGCACCAAGGTCGAATGGGCCAGAATTCGAAGTAGAAAGGGTTCGAGTGACGAGAGGGTTCAAGGTTCAAACCAGTGTGGGCTATGTTTCAGGGTAGGGGTTCGAGATTAAAGGTCAAATCAGTCAGATGTCCGACTTACGTGTGGTCTGGGGTCAAAATGAGAAAGATCAGAGAGGTTTCGAGACTAATTCCAAACGGGCTTGGATTTCGATGTTTCCTGAAGTCAAGTAGCGGTAAGATTGGAGGCAGAGGCGGTGTCGGAGGTCGGAGGTCGGAGGTCGGAGGGCAGAAGTCGGACTTGTTATGGTGTGATGTGCGGCATGATTCAAAGGCTGGGATTGGTGTGTCCTGTGGCAAAAAAGGTCTGAGTCCCATGCGAGGTATATTCCAAGGAAGGAGGCTCGGGCCAGGCGGTCTAAGATTTATGTCTCAGTGGTGGGACCGGATTGAAGTTAGAACCAGGGAAGACAGAAAGTAGCGGTTACAAGTTGCGGGTGCTCAAGTGTCGGTAGCCACCGTAAATGCTTAACGTCAGGGGCTTGGCAGCCAAAGTCTGAAGTCACTCCCAACGGGAGGGGTGGGAGAAAATAGCCCAGGCGGCAGCTAGCTGAAATAGCGCATTAGCCTGTGGTCGCTTGCACGAATACTGCAACTGTTAGTGCTCTACAAACAACCTCACGACGAAGAGCGTCCGCCCGGTGGCGGCCTCGCTGAGACGCTGTTCCTCGTGCCGCGTGCCAGGTCCTAGCAGTTCGGAGACAGTCTCGGACGAGCTGTTCACGGCCGGCACGCTGGCACTGGCCGTGCTGATCACGGCCATCTCAGCGCTGGTGCTCGGCTTCGTGGTCGGCCACTACTGCGCGCGCCGCTGCCACAAGGACGACGTCAACATGCCGTACGCCGACACCGACTACACCTACTTCGACCAGCGGCAGAATGTCAACACAAGGTGCGACGAGTGGGTGGTGTTTGATCGGGACTGGTGCGGATCTTCACCACATGGTGGGATCGGTGGGTGCTGCCCCACCGATATCAATGACAGAAAGTCACCATTCGGCGAGATGCGAACCTCATGCTGAGATCGGCTTACAAGCGAGCTCACCAGTCAGCATGTGGCGCCGGCGTTAATCTCGACCTCACAACTCAGTGGCAACTTGTATGCGTCAACTGTGAATGCCCAGGTTAGTCTTGAGTTAAGCAATCCTTTCGCTGCCCGGAGAGCAAGGTGTGAATGTGTGCCGGAACGCTACGAAGGCGCCTCGCGCCCGGTTCCATCCCGCAACCGCTCTCAGTCTCCGCACCCCTGAGGCGGTGTCCGGACCGCTGACCGTGTCCGCGCCCCTGAGGCGGTTCTGTCCGGACCGCTGACCGTGTCCGCACCCCTGAGGCGGTCCTGTCCGGACCGCTGACCGTGTCCGCACCCCTGAGGCGGTTCTGTGGCGACTGCTGGCAGTCTCCGCGCCCCTGAGGCGATCCTGTCCTGAGCGCTGGGAGTCTCTGCGCCCCTGAGGCGATCCTGTCCTGACCGCTGGGAGTCTCTGCGCCCCTGAGGCGACCCTGTCCTGACCGCTGGCAGTCTCTGCGCCCCTGAGGCGATCCTGTCCTGAGCGCTGGGAGTCTCTGCGCCCCTGAGGCGACCCTGTCCTGACCGCTGGCAGTCTCTGCGCCCCTGAGGCGATCCTGTCCTGAGCGCTGGGAGTCTCTGCGCCCCTGAGGCGACCCTGTCCTGAGCGCTGGGAGTCTCTGCGCCCCTGAGGCGACCCTGTCCTGACCGCTGGCAGTCTCTGCGCCCCTGAGGCGATCCTGTCCTGAGCGCTGGGAGTCTCTGCGCCCCTGAGACGACCCTGTCCTGAGCGCTGGGAGTCTCTGCGCCCCTGAGGCGACCCTGTCCTGAGCGCTGGGAGTCTCTGCGCCCCTGAGGCGATCCTGTCCTGAGCGCTGGGAGTCTCTGCGCCCCTGAGGCGACCCTGTCCTGACCGCTGGGAGTCTCTGCGCCCCTGAGGCGACCCTGTCCTGACCGCTGGGAGTCTCTGCGCCCCCGAGGCGATCCTGTCCTGACCGCTGGGAGTCTCCGCGCCCCTGAGCCGGCCTTGTCTCGACCGCTGTCAGTCCCCGCGCCCCTGAGACGGTCCTTTCCCGTGCGGCCGCCCCTGGCGCTGAGGCGGTCCGAGTGACCACGAGTGACCGTTCGCCGATGACCTGACCGCTCCGGCAGGCTGGCGCACGACCCCACACTTCTGGGCGAGGAGGTCACCTACTCAGAGCCGGTGCTCATACCCACCAACAGCATGGTCGGCACGCTGAAGAAAAACCAGACGGACGGCACGCTGCCGCTCCAGTACTCAGGTCAGGTCAGGTTAGGTCAGGGCGCCGGCTCGGCCGGGGACTCCGGCGCAGCCCGTGATGGCCTTCGCGGACAGGGTAGCTCGCACTACAGCATGTTACCAACGGTATACCTGCGTGATATTTGTGGAAATGACCACTGCTGAAGAACGCCATGAGATGATGTCTCAGTATTGCCATTTTAATACGCATCATGCGCCTGTGCTTTGTGAACATGAAACAAGTTACTCAGACCCCCAGCCCCCCCAGGCTCCTGCCAAGTACGGTTAGCTTTGTTTTCGTTATTTGGCTAGTGATGGTACAAGCGATTCGGTATCCGTATCGCCATCGAAAGAATTCATCCATTCTCTCTCCCCTGTTGTCCACGTTAGTACGAACCCGGCTGACCCCATCTCACTCCACCTGACCTGAGGTGCCCTCTGCAGACAAGTACGAGGGTTCGATGCTGCCGCTGCGTGGAGACGTGTACGGCACCCACCATCGGCAGCTGCGCGGCCGCCCCCTCCAGCTGGAGGACGCAGGTACGCACGCAGGCTGGAGCTTGTGGTGTGGGGTACCCTGAACCCTGGACTACTGTACATACTCCGGAGAGGCACGATGTGAGGTGCCCTGGACCATGGACTGCGGTACGTACTTCGGAGAAGTACGATATGGGGTACCTTGGACCCTGGACTACTGTACGTACCCCGGAGAGATACGGTGTGGGGTACGTTGAACCGTGGACTACTGTACGTACTCCGGAGAGGTGCGGTGTGGGGTACCTTGGACCCTGGACTACTGTACGTACCCCGGAGAGGTACGGTGTGGGGTACCTTGGACCCTGGACTATTGTACGTACCCCGGAGAGGTACGGTGGATCTCAATGCTTCCGAAGATACATGGCATATTCTACCGGAGAAGACACTACCGGTAGCATGGCCATCTTTGCAGTGTGGATAAGGTGGTCGCCTGCACTCCGCCAGTGACATTTTCTCTCTTGCTTGGCGTATCTGTGGACGCAGAATCGAAGCTCGTCGGTACGCTTTGAATGTATCGATATCTTGGAGCTGGAAATAGTCTTGTTTGTGGACAGATGTCCGATAATAACATCATTTACGTTGGTATGGGCTTCGATTAATGACGTTCCAGCAAGCACTTAAACTCCGACCTCATAAATGCAAAGTCGACCGAACCTGGTTAATTTGAGGAAAACGCGGATGTATCTGCTGCAAATGGCCTGACAGCGGCTGAGTCTTAGCGCCCGAACAGGCGGGCGCCGGAAGGAGGTCAAGGTCACGCCAGCCTCCGTCGCTGGGTGACAGGGTGAGCGGGCGGCGGCGGCGTTCCTCGCCTCCGAGGCGGCGGCGTGAGCATTAAGACCGAGCCCCCGGCGCGGCTGAGCCCCGCGCCGGCGCCTCCGGAGTACCCGACGTCCGTCCCGCCAAATATAGACCCGCGCCCGGTGACTGGTGGCCAAGTTATGGCCGAGTAGCGTGCGGCCCATCCCTGCGCTGAGTGGCGTGCTTGGTGACGGGGTGGCGCTCCCGCTTCGCTGCGCTATTGAATTTCTAACGGGACTATTCTCGGCGACAGCGACTGGTGGTGATTGCAAACGAGCATGCGGACCCATCCTCGTCTGTCCCGTGCCAGTCACGATAACTTGTCGCGTCCGATCACGTGCCACGTGAAGAGGGCCGTGGCGATGACTGAGCGTGCTCTGGCTTGCCACGGGGCGTGATGTTATGGGATGTTGTGAGCGGAAGTGTAGGATTGTGTGCGAGTTGGGGAGAGGAGCTCAAGACGTAGGAAATAATAGTTCGGCCCCCTTCCCCCAACTTCTTGTGCAGCTTTCCTAACTCTCCACATTGTTCATCTTGTTCACGAGAAATAGAGCAATGTAAACCGAATGATATGTGTAAGATATTTGTACACCCTCCGAATGACAAAATAAAAAAACCGAATCCGAGGCAAAAATATGATTTGCTGGTACTTTAAATTGAACGGTTAAGCGCGGAGTCCTGAATCTGCCTGGCCAGATTACACCCTTGGTTAAAGACTTAAGCTGATGCGTTTTTGGTGTGCATATGAGGCAACGACGCAATTCGCTGCTACTGATGACGTCACACGTAGTTACTGCACACGGGATATCAGTGTTATACAGTGCGCTGACGGGACCTGAGCGTGCTGCAATGGCGCCGCCTGGGAAATAATGGGAAAACGCTGCTTCGCCTTGAGCCATCGAGAACCAGAGTCAGCCCCAGCAGGTCCAATGCATTCGAACGTTCCGGGGTCATTATCCTTCACCGTGGGATAACCCGTTCGAGGGTAAATGGCATGCATACGCTGTGTTGTGGGTAATGTGTCGCGATCCCTGATGCTGACTGATAATGCCGCGGTTTGACGTGTGGCATAGCGTGACGCGCCCGTTGTCTTTCCTCAGGGATGGCCGAAGAGCTGCCGTACCGGCGAGACATGACCAGTCGCCACGAGCCGCCGATGAGCGACGGCTACGCCACCACGCGGAGCGTCCGCAGGGTCTACCTGTAGGGGCCGCCCACAGATGGCAGGCGCTTCGAGCCCGGGACTTTGCAAATTTTATAGTGGCTAACGTGTCAGGCCGTGCCTGATGCTGCTGGACTTCTCAGTGGGCTCTGGTGTGCTGCTGCTGATTCGACATGCCACCACACGATGTGGCACGGACTCGGATCCGCGGACCACCTGAGAGGATGCTGAGCTCGCAACACCGGCAGGTTGAGTGCATGCGTCCGTATGTGCAAGTGTGCGTGCGTGCCGTTTTCCTTCTTCATTGATCTCAGAGATGCGGCAGGTTCGCCGACCACGCCGACCACATCACTGTGGAAGTCGGTCCGCGAACGGCCGCGAGGCGACGTGTGTGGCAGCGCCGCCCAGCGGCCGGTTGGACAATTTCAAGTGCCAAGACGCACAACTAGGCGCCGTCGCCGATAGTTTGTCGGTGGATTAGAAGTGGACTGGTCTGTACGCGCTAGAGCGGAGTGTCCGTCTTTGCCCTGCAGTCGACGTTTCGTGTGTCAGCGCTCCCGTCTGCCCGAGCTCCATACACAGATCGAGTATACTATGTACATACGTGGTGGGGGAGGGGGAGGGGCTGGGCGACTCGGCGCGCGCCACCGATTCCGACGCACCCCCCGCCATTCTTGACTCGAGGGAACGATGTCTTAACAGCCCACGGTGGTGACATATCGGGTCGCCTTGGTGTATTATTATGTACATAAGCCGCTGAGCGGATTTTTATGCACTGCTTTTGCGTTCCCTTCGTGAGATGGGAGGCTTGACAATGTTTTCCTGTTCGCGATATGTTGTCGAAGTACAAAGTGGCCTATGGAAACTGGTGACACCGCAATCCTAGTAATTTTTTAATGACGTGTCCGTTTTGTTTTCATTTATTCCTTGCTCAACCCGTTTTCATGCTACATTTCTTGTATACGGTGAGACCTAACTGGCTGCGAGAGCCGACCATTTTGCCAGTTTAGTTTGCTTGTGCAATGTGATTCATTCACCGATCCCTCGCCGATATTACTCAGCCCGACCGAGTTAACTCTCTAGTACAGCCGGGAGCGTGAAGCCGGGTGTCCCCCTGACAAAGCTGCCGTCAGCCTCGCCGTGCTGCCCAGTAGGAGCCCGTCCGACAGGCGGCAGTCTCGAGCGGCCACCGGCACCGTCAGCCTCGCCGTGCTGCCCAGTATGAGCCCAGTCTGGCAGGCGGCAGTCTCGAGCGGCCACCGGCACCGTCAACCTGGCCGTGCTGCCCAGTAGGAGCCCGTCCGACAGGCGGCAGTCTCGAGCGGCCACCGGCGCCGTCAACCTGGCCGTGCTGCCCAGTAGGAGCCCAGTCCGGCAGACCCGCAGTCTCGAGCGGCCACCGGCACGGTCGTCAGCGGTCGTGTTCTGCCGATCCCCCCCCCCCTCCATTTTTCCTCCCTCTGGTACCGTTGGGGATCGAGGGTGTACTCCGCGTGGTCGACCCATGTGGTCCCCTCGCTCAATAACCCTCCGCCCTACCTATACCCTACCCTGGTTAGCTGGGCCTGCCCTCTGCCTGCCTTCGGTCTGCTTCTGCCCGTTCCGGTGCCCATCTCTAATCTGTTTCTGTCGGTCGTGTTGCCCACCTCTAAGGTGATCCCGTCAGCCCTGGTGCCCACCTCTAGGATGGTTCCATCAGTCCTGGTGCCCACCTCTAGGATGGTTCCGTCAGTCCTGGTGCTGACCTCTTCTCGGTGTTGGTGTCTGCCCCTTATTGAACGGTTTCCTGCCTAGCTGCCGTCTCCACCTGCGGTTCTCTGTCTGTGATGACATATACACCGAACCCGCTCCAACAACTCCTTTGGCTCCCAATCAGAGCCTCTCTCACCCCCCATCTACCTTCACCCCGCGGCACCCTTTACTCTCACTCCGCTCACTCCACTCTTCGTCACCGTGCCGGTCAGAGCGTGACAAGTCTTCCAGACCGGCCCCCTCCCTCCGCCGCCGCGTTCCACCGCCCCCCCCCCCCTCCGTGGGTCTAGCGCGTACAGTCGCATCCCTGTGTTTGTCTTGTCGCCTGTGATATTAGCGTTGGTATTGTGGTACCTGTCCATAAGCAGCGTCTCGTGCGGCCGGCGCCGTCGCCTGAGGCGCCACTGCATTCGAATGGTACTTGCCTAGTGATACAATATATACATATATAAATGGGGCATTTTTGGTGAGGTGAGACGGAGCTTCGGCACTTCGAGTGACAGCTTTTGATTGAATCTGGGAAGTCTGCATTTTCTGTATTGTGCGTGGGATTTATGACTCATCTGCGTGCGAGCGGGGTTGTGATCACTACACGAAGTAACAAATTGTATAACGCAAACATCCTAGAAAAAACCTTGTTCCTATGGAGGACGGAGTACATACTAGCTCCAGCAGGTTAGAAATTCGGCAATTCATTATCACATGCCAGCTCCCTTAAAAGTGTCTTTACAATATCAGCATGTGAGGAGTTTGCTGAAGAGGATGACAGGGCCTTTCAAAATGCGTTTTTGAACAACAATTTCCGAAGTGCATGACATGGGTGCCGCTCGTGATCGGCTTATGGCGAATATATGAGAAGAAAAAAAACGTTCTGACGAGTACAATATGTATCCGTCTGGTTCTGTAGTATGATCGCGTTTTGCCAGCACATCATGTTCGGTTAGCTTGTATAGGTTGGAGTGCGCAACTATACGACGCAATTTTTTGTGCGATTTGTTCATGAACGGATCGATGAAATGAAGCTATGGCAGTGGTTCCATGCCCCCAATAATAAGGAAAGAGGACTACCATTTTTATGGTTGATTTTCGGGTAATGTACGGCTCATTGGGACTAACACTCAGATGTGTCACACTAGTCCGCCCTCATCTGACGCCCACATACCACGCGTTGTTTGATGCGCTGCTGTGAGCCCGGATGTGGAAGGCCGATTGGTCCGTGAAATGAACAGGCACGTTCACCGGAGTCTGAGCCTCGAAAATCCACGATCCTGGAATCGGCTCCGAGTTTGGCTGCGCTCGGAAGGCCGTGCCGACTAATGCGGCTGTTTGAAAGCGTCGTTGGAGGGACATGTGTGAGCATGCACAACACACGCAGTGCAAAAAAGCGATGCCGTTGCAATTCTTTCGTATGTTCAGAATTAATACAAAGGCAGGCCCAGCTGAGAGACTAAGTATCACTGACTTTAATAACCACGAATCTCCAAGACTCGAGTGCTGCGGGCATGCCAACCCTCACCACAAACACTACGGCAATAAAGGCTGATGGATTTCCAAGTCATCATCCACCAGAGTATTTCGTTTAAACATGACATTGCGACCCTTTGCTGCAATTTGCGATCATTCGCAGCACCAGTGTTGGGGTGCTGCTGCTGCAGCTGATCCGAGCGGGAGGTCAGCTGACCCGAACGGGAGGTCAACCGAACCTAACGGGGGGTCAGCTAACCTGGGCGGAAGATCAGCTGACCCGAGCGGGAGGTCAGCAGATCCGGGCGGGAGGTCAGCTGATCCGGGCGGAAGGCCAACTGACCTGGCGAGAGATCAGCTAACCCGAGCGGGAGGCCAGCTGTCGTGACGGGTTCCAGTTTCACGCGAAAGCCGTCGAACAAAGCTGAACTGGGCCCACGGGTCGGCGCTCCTAGCCATTGCTTAGCTTGACGGGACTGGGTGTGCGGCGAGGCCCGTGCGTTCGGGAGTGAGCTCGCCGTCACGCTGTAGGCGTGAGGTGAGGTTATCTCCGGTGCGCCTGACATCACGTTACCTTTTAATGCAGACGGACACTTTTGCACATCTGAAATTCCCGTTTTGAATGTTATGACTGCTAGGCGAACAAGTCTGTCACTATGTTTACCTGACAGCTGGCGGTTGGCGATCGCGATCGATACGAGCAATGTGAGACGGGCTCCTGCATACGGCCGGGACATTCGCCAGCCGGGGACCGGCGTGCACGGAAGCGGCTGCGTCCAGACAGGCCGTGACACTGCGGTGGCGAGCGACACACTAACGAGCCCGCTGGTCTGTCCGAGTGGAAACGTCCGTCCAGACAGGCTGTGACACCGCGGTGGCGAACGACACACTAACGAGCCCGCTGGTCTGTCCGAGTGGAAACGTCCGTCCAGACAGGCTGTGACACTGCGGTGGCGAGCGACACACTAACGAGTCCGCTGTTCTGTCCGAGTGGAAACGTCCGTCCAGACAGGCCGTGACACTGCGGTGGCGAGTGAAACACTAACGAGCCCGCTGGTCTGTCCGAATGGAAACGTCCGTCCAGACAGGCTGTGACACTGCGGTGGCGAGCGACACACTAACGAGCCCGCTGGTCTGTCCGAGTGGAAACGTCCGTCCAGACAGGCTGTGACACTGCGGTGGCGAGTGAAACACTAACGAGCCCGCTGGTCTGTTCGAGTGGGACCGGCCATCTGCTTGAATCAGCCTGGACGAACACAAAAAGTTGCCTCATGAGCTCCCGGCACGAGCCGGGAGACTGCGACGCCCAGCACCCGGAGACGGCACCGCGGCAAGGGACGCTATCCCTAGGGCACGCGCCCGCCAAGATCCAAGGGCCACATCCTGCCAGGGAGGGACCCACGTGGAAACAATCAGGGGGAGGGGGGGGGGGGGGCATCAATGCCGGGGCACGACGAAGCCGATAACAACCTTTCCTTTTTCCTACAACCTTCCTTTGCTTTCCTTTCCGTGTCCACGATATCCTTAACCTACTGCGGCGATTCCCCTGGGTAGGGGAGCGTGGGGCTGCCCGCGCCTCTGCCCACGACCAACCAGCTCGTTCCGCACGCACACCCCACCACCCGTCCACGCCAAAGCACCGTGGCACAGTCCGCAGTCACGTGACCCGGCCGGGTACGTGACGGCCGGGTCACGTGACGCGCGGCTGCCGGCGGGAGGTATGTTTATTGTGCGGCGCCGGCGGCCTGGTGACGCGGCGCTAGTTCCCGGCGGGGTCAGAGGTCAGCAGTGCCGAGCAGGACGCCGAGGACTTTGTCCAACCGCGCACGTGCCATGCAGTGTCCACGGAGCCGGCATCGGTGCCGTGGTGACAGTTGCCAGACGGTTGGATCGGGTCCTGCCCGCAGTTCCGCAGCGGGGGTGGAGCGGGCTTCTTGGAATGCAGACCAGGGATGAACTTGGAAGCGTCGGGCGGCGTGCAATGCTTCTGGAGCGCTCGATATGGGACGGCATATTTGTTCTCTGAATGCGCGCTGAGATTTTGCTCTATATTGGACAAGATGGGATAAAGGTTGGAGTTGGAACACGAGACGGATGAGTTTTGGAATCGGTGGGTTGGACGCAAAAATGCACACACATTCCCCAAGCGTACCGTAATCAGTTGGCTGTTAATACAAGGCCTGCTGTCCGTTGAAAGGAGCCACGTCTCGACTTATTCCAAGAGTAGCAACACGTTTGGGATGAAATGAAATCACACAGGGCGGCGATTCGGACAGTTAGTCGGCTGACTGAAAACTGAGAGTTTGGTCGGGAGACTTAAAAGCGTGCTGGGGACATTTGGACCGTAAAACATCGCACCTTTAGAAAGGGATACATTCGAAAACGTACTGGTAACATTGTGTTCATAGCTAGGAAAATGCGTTAGTTCATAGTTACCATCACGTCCCTTTTTAGAGCAATGCGAAACTGTGCCCTTGACTGCATTCAATATCAATTATCAAAAGAATGGAGCTTCCGTAAAGAACAGCGTTCCGTCTTTTCTCATTGAGGAGTAAATTGTTAAATCAAGTAGTATTTTCAACCCATAACGATGCCAAACAGCACAAGTTTTTGTTCTCCTGTGCCTTTCATTGGGTCGTTAACATGCAAACTAAAATACAGTGATACTTAAAGAATCTATGTTGAATACTCGCCTCTCATAATCGTTTATATTGAAACTAAAACTCCGTGCAGTGATAAAAGCATGCATCTTAAATTGCCGGCCACGAAATATGCAGTCAAACTGGTAGAATGTTGTGCCAGCTCTCACATATTCCATCCAGACCTGATTTTCCGCTGGCGTAACCATTTTAAACATTTCGGCTTCTAAAAGAAAATTGCAACGCGACAAAACGACAATTCGTGGAGCGTTGGCAAACACACCGTTCCCATCGTTCAATATCCATAATCTGCCGATTGTGATGCTGCTACCCGATATACATTAGTTAGACCACAGAGAAAGCGAAAACCAACGGTGCATGAAATCTGACACAGCTGGCAATGCATGCAATGGGCTTGCTTTTGCAGCCCAGGCTTGTTCCAGACCCTGTCCAGCCACTGAGCTATGGGTTACGGCATTTTCTCGGAGGGTACACACACAGAC